TTATGAATTTTTTTCTGTCCTAAGCTGATTTTTAAAAATTAAGGTACTTAATGTTTGTTTCTGATTTCTAAGTGTTCTTAATATATTAAACTTTGATATTTTTCTTTTTGTAAGACAGGGTCTCATTATGTAGCTCAGATTGGTCTTAAACTCATAAAGTAGCCCAGGAAAACCTCAAACTCATGAACCTCCTTCTGAGATTACAGGGTGCACAAGCTTTGGTAATTTTTTACAGTTATTCATTTAGGGAGGAACTGAAGGCATTGGACAGATGGTAAAGAGGGTGGAAAGGGAGGAAATCCAAACCTAAAGGGGACATCTTAGTCTTTACCTCTTTCTTGACTTCCAACCCCACATTTCTTTCTTCTGCATTTTCTCTGGCATCCTCAGTGCTACATGGCAAAACTCAGGGCACTGCCTTCTTATGTTCCTGTTGACTTTCTTTTTATTGGTGTATACTAAATGTTCAAAGTAAGGGGTTTCATTATGATTATACTGACTTTTTAATTCATGATTAATATATTACTTTCTACATAACAGAGTGGAAGCATCTTAGTCATGTATCTTGGTCTCTCTTTTTCCTTTTCCCATTACTTAAGACCTTCAGTATTTTGCCTGTTGGTATCCTGGAACAGGAACACTGTCACTAGTTTTAAAGTGTTCCAAAACTGGTCTGTCTTGCACACTTAAAGAAAATTAATTGTGCTGGAGCATAACTCTTGCTATGCCATTTCCTTGAACACTTCCTCCATTAACTCACTAATTCCTTGAAGTGGCATCACATGTTTTACATAACCCTGAATCACTGACTTTTCTGTTAACTGCTCTCTTCCTGACTTTGTGGTCCATTCTGTATATTTTTGACCTCTTCTTTGACCATACTTTGAGTACTGCTAATTATGTGGCTTTAAGTCATGCTATTCTTTGTTTTAGAAGTTTTCTTCCCACATACCAAAACTCTTTTCATCCTTCAAGACTCAAATCACACATTGCTTCTTTTTGGAAACCCTCCCTATCATGCCTTCTAGAAGAGTTCTTTACCTATTGCAAATTTTCATGATACTTGAGTTCTGTGTGTCTTACACACCTGTTTCACTGACATGCAGTTTGTGCTTGTGTCATATTTACTTTAATAGATGACAGACTCCTTAATGCCAGGTAATTTCATCCTCTTACTAGAGCATCTAGAATCAGGTTTTGCACATTGCAAAAGCCAGCATACTTTGTTCAATAAATTAATGAATTATGAACAGCTCAAAAATCATTACCCTCCATGAAAAAACTGAATCATTGTCATAATCCCTCTTCAAATTAGTCAGATTTTAGATTAATAAAATGGACTTTCTTCTCTTCATTTATATCTGATTATTTAAGGATTAGGTGAAATTGAGAGAGAATTCTAAAGTTGGAAGACAATGACTTTTTTTCACCTCATTAACTGGTTTCAGGTACAGCTATATTTTGTTCTCTCCATCTTCTTGACTTTCAAATGTACTTACCAAATATGGCTGCCATTGTCTAGATGGTCATTTACAAAGTTGGCAATACATCAGAATCACTGGGGGGACTTTAAAACTCAGACCTTACCCAGACCAAACAGATTTTTAGGAGTGAGATGCAGGCACCATAATTTGTTTTTATAATTTGTCAGGTGATACTAATGGGCAGGCAAGTCCAACCTTGTTACCATGGTAACAAGGTCTTTGTTCTTAAACTTTTCTGTGTATCAGAATCACGTGGGTAATCTTGAAAGCCTAGAAATTCTTAGATCCTAACCTATGTCAGTGAACCGAACCCTTAGGTCTTTTATTGGCATTCCAGGCTATTCCGATATTGTCCAATGTTGGAAAACCACTGCTCTAATTAAATGTTACCTCTCCCAGGTGAGATAATGCTACTTAATTAAAATCTATGGCAAAGTCCTAATTAAAACCCATAGGTTCTCGAGGGAGTTGATTCTTATAGGAGGAAATCTCACAAAGCCACTATGTGAAGCATTGAAAATGCTTTTACAGACATTACTATGTTTATAGAAGTATTTCCTAAAGGTCAGATGGACATTTATTCATTGATTTGCACTGTTGTCATCTTTGTTGTAGAATTTTAAACATTTTGTACAAATGAAGTAAGTTAATGTTTGGTACTTGACGACAACTATTTTTCTGTCCCCACCCCCCACAAAAACCAGAGTACATAAGTGATAAATAATGTAAACCTTTGGAATAAACCCAAGATACACCAGTGCCCTCTGGAGTGGGTAAGAAATCATCCTGTAACATTGGATACTATTTCTGGTACAGCTTAAGGTATGATACTGACAGAGAATTTGGTTTTCCTTTGTGGATAATAATAGATTCAATGACTGCCTTAACACTGGAAAAAGGATGTACAAAGCCTATCTTGATGTAAAAACTATTTTTTGGGACTGTTATGACATCTGCTATCCATTTGAATGCTTAGAAACCCAACTCTTCTATTTTTCTCTCTCTTTTTTTTCCTGCACAGATACTGTTGAACTGTTTGTTTTTCACTGTCAGTTATGATTAGTCTCCAGTCCACATTGATGAGGCACATTGCATTTCTTCTTGTCTTTTAAATATTTTCATATTAGACTAGATGCTTTCTAATGTGTTTTCCAGTTAAAAAATCCATAATTCTGAACTGTTATGGGTTTCCAACTTGAAATAATCATGGTTTTTGTCTCCAAACCTGGCACTTTTATTAGGTATATTTCAGAATAAAATAGCTATGTTTGCGGTATTTTTTATTTTCCAAAATATGCTTTGCCTTTTGAAAGTTAGCATAGCAACCAGGTAACCAAACCATTACCAGTGCAAATTAACTAGCATAAGTAGATAGGTAGCTTATAGAAATGTATGTATATTATATACGTTGATAGTAGTTAGCAAATCAAACGTTTAAAGCATTTTCAGCTTCTGTTAAAGTTGGAAAGTCCCCCCAAAATGGAAATTGATATTTCTAATACAAATTACATGTAACTTTTTCATTGTTTTATTTAATTTTATTCCCTCTTTGTGATTATTTCTCAAGAAATTTTGTGTGTGTGTGAAGAAAGTCTGCTTTATCTTCTATTTTAAGACATTATAAAGATTTAGTATGTCAGATATATAAGTATGTCTGTGTTCATTTAAAATGGAGGACATAGAAAGATTCCAGATAAATGTAATATTCATTTTGCTTGGTGCCTGAAATAATGGACACTTTGAGATATGTGCATAATTTTTTGCCTGTGGCATTCTTTTCTTTTATTGTCACTTTTAACCTCTGATAGCATACATGCCTATTAATGCTTTCTTCTGAAAACACTTATTCTTCTCTGCTTTTCTTAGAAAATGGAAATTTTATTTTATAAGGAAAGAGTGAAAGAGGCTGAATGTAGTGGGAATATTTCATACTCATGTATAAAAATAGAAATATGAGACCTGTTGAAACTATTCTAGGAAATGGGGGGTTGAGGGAGAATGATGGAGAGGGTGAATTCAGCTATGATGTATTGTAAGAAGTTTTCTAAATGTCACAATGTATCCCAACAATAATATAAATACACAAAAAATGATTTTATGGGGTGTATGTACTCCTGTTGGGCAGGAGAGGGCACTATGGAGTAAGTAGACTTCACAGGAAAAGAAAGGGTTTTTGACAGGTAATGATAGGTAATGAGAAAGCATCCTGAGTTCTGTTGATTGGTGGTTGTCTTGAATTATGGAATTCATGGCCCAAGTTCTTGTTTCATTGTAAGAATCTACAGGCATAAATGAGGAGGGGGAAATGACAATAATATATATGGGATTTTCCATGTCCTTCAGACTAGTTCTTTTTACAAGAGGATTAGTTTTTCCAGGTATGGTACTTATAGGAGGGGAGAATGCATAAAGAAAAGGGTATATGAGGGTGAATTTGATGGAGGTATTTTGTATTTATATATGAAAACAGACTAATGAAACTTGCTGAAATTATTCTAAGGAGGGGGGAGGGTAGATGAGGGAGAATGAAGAAGGTGAATCTAAGATATATTGTATGCACTATGTAGATATCATAATGCATCGCCTTGTGCAACAGTTATATGCTAATAATAAAAAAGAAAGCTGGGAAGCACAAAAAATTGGTTCATTTAAAATTTGAGATATAAATCACATTGATAACATTAACCCATTGAAAGTGTAGAGTTGAGTGGTTTTTATAAGGTTGTGCAACCAGCACCACCATCTAATTCCAAAGTATTTCATCTCCCCTAAAGAAACCCTATAGCATAGTAATTAAACCTATAGTCATTAGTAATTATTACTCATTCGTTTCCTTTCCTAGGCCCTTACATCTACAAAACTACTTTTTGCCTCTGTGGATTTGCTCATTCTAGACAGTTCATATAAATGAAACTCTACAATATGTTGCCTTTTGTGTCTTCTTTCACTTAGCATAAGTCATACCATGTATCAGTCTCAATTTCTTTTTGAATAATAAGCTGTTACATGAATATATCACATTTTGTTTATTCATTAGTCAATGGCCATCTTCTCCATTCTTTGTCGATTGTGAATAATGCTGCTAGGAACATTGTGTACAATTTTTTTGTGTATATGCTTTCATTTCTCCTAGGTATATACCTAAGAGTGAAATTGTTAGGTCTTCTGGTAACACTGTGTTTAACTTCTGAGTAATTGCCAAACTGTTTTTCTACAGTGGCCATACCATATATAAGGGCTCCAATTTCTCCATATCTTTTTTTTGTATATATCTTTTTGATTATAGCCATTCTCAGTTGGTATAAAGAGGTGTTTCGATGTGCTTTTGATTTACAACTGCAAAAAATACATTTCTTTAAACACTTAGAATTTAGCCATTTATTTCAAAGCTACAATCTTTCTTATTATGTCAGTCTAAACACATAATTCTTCCATCCTCTGGTAGTGTATTTGGCTACAATGGAATAATGTTTATAGTGTTTTCTTTCCTCCTTCCCTTTCCTTTCTTATGACCAGGTGCTGAAAAAGCTGCTTTTCTGATGGGTATTAATTCCTCTGAGTTGGTGAAGGGCTTGATTCATCCTAAAATCAAAGTTGGTAATGAATATGTTACCAGAAGTCAAAATGTAGAACAGGTAAGGTGATATTTCAAGGGCATTATGATTCCATGACCTTGTAGTAATGTATACATATGGTACTTGTATATTTCAACTACTGACAATGTCAGCAGTTCTATAGAGCTTCTATAAAAAGCAAAAGAGAGCTACTGTAGTAAATATTTCAGATATTTTTAATTATGGCATACATCACAGTAAATACTTTTGAATTAAGAGTCTTCCTATCTTGAAATATATATTTTGGCAGTTTCCTTTAGTAGCAAGTCTCTGCAAATACTGTAGGCCAATCTTTCATTTACTGTGATCAACATTTTGGTTGTCCAGCTAAGAAGATTTTAAAGCTGTTGATTCCTGGAATTAATAAAATTGGTAAACTGACATATCTTGCATATTTGGCATTTCGACTTCTTTATTGTAACAGATACATAGTGACATATTAATTGAGAACAAAATTTTAGTACATACACTGAAGTTAGCATTTGAAGAGACAGGAATGGAGAAGAGACACAAGAAATGGAAGGTTATGGAGGTTTTGTTGAACATTCAGGAGAATGTTATAATGATAGAGTAACAAATGTTCTGAGGACTGCTAATCTTGAGGATTTGCTTTAGTGCAGTAAATATTTCCAGAGCTGCAACATAATATGACCAATTAAGTATATCAATACATTTAAACATGTTTTACAACAGCTATGTGTTACTCAATATGATGTAACCCATGCTTCAGTAATACTAAAATCTCAGTGGCAACAACATATTAACAACATGTGTGTTTTGTTAGACTTAAGCCAAGTCTAACAAAAGTCTAGTAGATATTGTGGAGCCTTCTTCTATTTTGTAGTTATGCCATTTGGAACATATGGCCTACAAAATTGCTGCACAAGCAGAAAGATCATTTGTGGAGGGCGATACCCAACTCAACTCATCTGCTTGGGATAGAGGTGATATCACTTTCATTCATACTCTACTGGTGAGAGTTAGATTATCTTCCTCATTACAGGCGTGCAGAGAAAAAACAGTTTTCCTGGAGAGAGAAAATGGTAAGGTGAAGTCATAGCCTTCTCTGTCATCCATTATATGTATAAAGCATTCACAGGTATTGTTTCTTTCCATTCTTAAAGTATCAGTGATAAATAAAGTAGGAATAGTTATATATATTCAGTTGAGGAAACTAATGATAAAAATAACCTGGGTAACATTCCAAAGGCTACACAGCTACTATTCATCCTAAACCTGAAAAGGAGGTTAAAAAATGGTTTGTCAGTCATTTTGACTGTAATATTGAGGTATCTATTGTGTTCATGTTATTTAAAACTTTATATATCTAATCAAAACCAACTTTGTAACTTAGTTTACTCTACAAACCACTAATTCTACATTTACTGTAATAGTAACTATAGTATATTAAAATAATCTGCCTACGTTTTCTTTTTCCCTGGTGATTTAAGCACCTTGAAGCCATGGACTTAGCCATCTTAGTGCCTCAGCATCTAGCACAGTGTTCTGCAACCAGCAGGTGCTCTGTAAATATTAAAAAAAAACAAACCAAAACTAAATTGAGCAGGAGAAGAAATTGAGCTACTTCTTGGCCTTTGAGTTAGAAGTGTTTGCAGTATCACAGTGTCTTAGACTTCCACATAACACATATCCATGACATATATCTTTCTCTTTCTAAAAATAAGGATCCCATAGTAGGCCTGAAATAAAATCTTCACCTCTTTAATATTGTGCTTTTAGGAACTGGGTTACCACTCTAGCTTGTACTATAACAGAAATAATGAAGCAAGCTAGCATATTATTATTTAGCATAAAAACCCTCATTCTCTTCTCCCCCCCCAATTGGAGACAGTAATAAGGCACACTGTAAGGCTTTATTTTTTTAAGGAATTTTACAAACTTTGTAGAAACAATTGTCCCTGCCAAGAATAGAGATGTGTATGCTTTGTTGATAACTATTGCAAAGGGTGGGAAAAATTCTGGCAGTGTTAGCATTCCATATAATATTTAGTTCTAGTTCACTAATTGTAGTACTAATTCTTTCTGATACTCTGGTCAAGTATTTTGATCTCTGAACCCTGCAATGAGGAGATTGAATGACTTTATTTTCCCAGTGGAGTAGTATTTGGCATCAAAGAAAGGACAGTTGTTTCATGGATGAAAATATCCTGCATTTTGTAGATGTTTGCTCTTCTTGGCCCCCAGCCACTAGCATTCTCAGTCATTTTGACAAACAGAAAATGCTCTCCACATTCCTAAATGCCCTCTTTCTAAGTTGAGAACCATTTACCTAATTATCAAGAACTAAGGTTCTTCAGATTCAGTATTTTATTACTCCACAACAATTAGAGCTATGTGGAGTACAGAAATAAGTTGGTACAATTTTAAGAAGATTAATAATGGTGACAAAACAATAACAAAAATCAGTATATGCCTACAAAGTTGATCTTATTAGTATTTCTGCTTTACTGCTAAAGACTGTTAGATTAACAACTCAAGGTGACACAACTAATAAAGTTGAGGATGAGAAGTGATAATGGTTAGAAAGGGGTTGGTAAAGGTGAAATTAACATTTACTGGACACCAGTTCTAAGTGTTGTGCTCTAAAGTTTACATCCTGTGTCACTGGATATCTTACAATTTTAGGATATGCATATTTTTATTGCCTTTTTTTAAACAGATGAGAATGGTAAGCAACAATGTGGTTAAAATTTTGGCTATTTGACTGTCATTTTTGAGTTTGTTGTTCTGTTGCTGTTTTCTGTCATAATAATTGCTCTGTAGTAATCAAAGTCTTCTGTAAGGTTATGGGTCCATTTAGCTCCTAAACAGTGGAGGTTTGGATTCACCTCTCTTCTTTACCCTTCATTGGACAGAAAATGATGAAAGGATTGAAATGATTTCTTTAGTGAACAGCATATTGGTTTCATTAATTCCCTCAGCAGACACTGTACTCTCTGTGTCTCCTTCTGCCTATACCTCCAGAATTCCAACCAATGTTTTTCCTTTACTTCCCACACATGACAAAAAAGTTTTTCCCACCCACACTTCTCAAGTATTTAGAGAGGTAAAAGGAGGTGAGCAAGTTCATCATGTGCTTTTTAAAGTTTCAAACTGACTGCAGTAGGCAGACAATGAAAATAATTCCTGATGCATCATTTGTACTGTATGCTTGTGACACCAGTACTAAAAAGTGGGTGCATTTGACTTGCAGAGAGGGTGTGACTCACAACTAAATCACCACCAGTTAACAATTTGCCTTGCTTTGTGGTCTGTCCAGGGCAGAAGGATGGACTGTTTTGCATGTTGTGTTTGGACATACTCTATTTCTAGACATAGACAGTGTCTAGTTGAAATTCATTCCTACTTGGAGTCTATAGGAAACCTGCTACTACAGCAGAACTTTTGCATTGTGGGAGCAGGATCTGCCTTTGTTCCAGGCACAGAATTTGGAGTTCTCCCTTGTTGGTTACCTGAGAGCCTTTGCCACAGCCCTCAGAGTAAGGAACATGCAGCCTCACTTTGACATTAAGAGAAGCTTTGTCAGAATGATGCTCCAAAAGACCATTGTCCATTCAGGGAGGTGAGACCACACTGAGAACTAAATAATAGTGGAAATCTAGGACTAGGAAGAGCCTTCAAGAAGATTATTTGGATGAAGATGCTGCTTCCAGACAGGATAGGTCACTTGCCAATGGTTATACAATTTATCAGCAGCAGTAACAGCAGGAGAATAAGGGTTAGGAATTACAGATTTCTGATGTACTACACCAGTACTTTTCAAACTTGATTGTGCATAGTGCTAAAGAAAGAATTAATTTGACACTTGTTAAAACAAAGACCTTATTAAGGATTATTGTAATAAGGGGAGACATTGGGGTCAATTTCAAATACAACCAGGACAAGTGGGGATTTATAGGCAAAGAACAGAGAAAAAGGATCAGTGAAAAATTACCTAGAAGAGACATGAGGGTAGGGGAATTCTTGTTGTACTGGCTTTCTTTGTAAAGGCAGGTTAAATATTTATACATGAAATGGGAGATGATAAACATAAATATCAAGGGTGGGGAGATTCTTCATAAAATTACCTCACAAAATTCTTGGTGCAAGTGGGTGAGGCAGGCTAAAGACATGAAAGGTAAGGTAAGAGGAGCCTGACTAAAGTTGGCCCAAGAAGAGAGTCTGTCTATAGGAAGTAGCTGGGAGTAGTGATATATTACAGTCTGATTAGGTAGGTCTGACACAAACTCCCAGGTGGGGTCTGATGCTGGTCTTAGGACAAAACTTTGCAGAACAAGGTTTTAGAGCACATTGCTACACCTTCCCCAAGATTTGTTTTTCCTTTATTAGTGATATGACTTCTCTCATCTACATTTTGGAAGGGAGGCACCAGGCTAGCTAACTACTTTCTTTTACTCTTCTTTGGCTCTTTTTTCTCCTCCCTCTCTTGCTACTTTCTTTCCTTTCCCTCATTTTATTAGCAGAATGCTAAAGTCACAGAAGGTCCTGATTTAAATAGAAGATGTTTGCTGATAGAGAATCCCCAGGATTAAAATGAACAATGCTGTCAGAAAAACAAACACGTTCAATGTGATTTCTAGGTAATCTATGCTGCTGGAGCCCTGTCCAAGTCAATATATGAAAGGATGTTTAATTGGCTGGTGGCACATATGAACAGGACCTTGGACACCAAGCTGACAAGACAGTTCTTCATCGGCGTTCTTGACATTACTGGTTTTGAAATCCTTGAGGTAAGTATGTGTGGTAAGAGTGAAGTCAATGTATATTTACAAGGAGATCACAAAACATGATTTGAACACGTGAAAACATAGTCAAAGCCTTGTAAGAATCATTATGTCCACACCATAAGAGTTATCTGTGTTCAAAAAGAACTATAATTATTATTAATTTAATTACCATTAAGAGTTTAATTCCTTTATTTAGCTTTAAATATAGGTAAGAGGTAAAGAAATTTTTTGTGATTTTGAATTATAATTCTCCTAAGTGTTATTTATTGTAATAATTTTTAGTTTCTAGATACATCTAAAGGAGGCATGAATTTGAGAATTCATGTATGTTGGGTCTACTTATCATTGTATGATTGTGATAATGATTTTCCTCTTTAATATATATTCTTGCAAGTAGAACTCTTATTTTTCTCTCTCCTTCCTACCTATTCATACCTTTGAAGTATAATAGCCTCGAGCAACTTTGTATTAATTTTACCAATGAAAAATTACAACAGTTCTTCAATCAGCACATGTTTATTCTGGAGCAAGAGGAGTATAGGAAAGAAGGCATTGAATGGGTGACTATTGACTTTGGTCTGGATTTGCAAGCCTGCATTGATCTCGTTGAGGAGGTAATATGGTGGGGTGTTAAAAATTTTCTTCTTGTCCATTTTTCACTTAAGGAGAATTGTCTCTGTCATGTTGATTCATGTAAAGAATCAGCCTCTGCCAGGGGATGGGAAATGGGGCCAGAAAGTCTCCACATTTTCTCTTAATGGTCCTTGTGTGCAGCACCTGTGGCATCCTAGCTAAACACTCATGTCACTTGTTCTACTTCATCTTCTCTAGAACAGGCTGTCACTGTACATTTGCAGCTTGTGCATGGCTTCCACTGTTAATGCACAAGGAGACTTGTCAAGATTAAAAATGGTTATGCTCTTGACTAGAAAAACACAAAGCTTAAAATATGAGTTCTGTAGGGCTTGGCTGATTAACATAAAGTGAATGAGTACACCCACAGATGCTTAAGGAAATTTGGCAAATTAGCATGCAAACAAACAACTGCTATAAATCCTCAAGGCCACTACCTTGCAGATGTAATTTGTTCATTTAATTGGACAAGTACCAGTTAGTTTAAGTAATTTATGACAGTACTTCACGGCTTATTAGGAAATTAGCTTCAGTGTGTTGTTTGTGAGTTCAGTGATGTCGCCATACTCTGAAGTCTTTTCATGGGGTTTTCTGGATGAGTTTTGTGTGGTTTTTCTGTGGCTTTTCCCTAGGAGCAAGTATGGTAACATGGTAGCAACTACCTGCCTCTTGTTTCTTGGTATAATCAAGAGTTGTAATGAATTTTGGAGACAGGTCTTAGCAGACCAAAGCCTTTAACCTTTTGAAAGTTTTCTAGCTACATTGTCAGATTTGATTCCCAACAACCCTGTCAGGAAGGAGCTACAGTGACTAACCTTTAACTGTGTGTTAAAGTCCACAGATTTTGTCAATCGATGTTCCATCAACTTTATTTATTAGGCTTTAAATGAAAGAACATCTTCCTTAAAGTAGCTATTATTCCTAGAAGGAACACATACCACATTGATTGTAAACAGTGAACTTCTTGGTGTGTGTGTGTGCGGGGGGGCGGATGTGTGGAATACGTTGAGTAAAAGCATAATGATAATGGATCCACTGTTGATTAAAAATAATAGTAATAAACCAACCATGATCTGGTAAATGTTTTTCACATTAGAAAAACTGTAACATACTGGTTAGAATTGAAACAAAAGCTGGAGGGCCCCAGAAGGACAGAACTGACAGTTGCCACCTGTAATATATGCTTACTTTGATTATGACAAGACACTGTTTTCAAACAGAAAGGAGGAATGTAGAGATTGTTCAGATCATGAGAGCTCTATGAATGATATTGATTTTTAGTTGACCTGAAGGCTATCACCTCATTTATGTCAGTCTCAATTTTTCCAAGTCATACATTAGCAACATGGATGTAATTTCCTGTTGCATTTTCTATTGATTTGATGAAATGAGAAAAGTACTGATTAGATGATAGAAAGCAAAGATAGGTCTTTAGTTTCTTATGAACTATTTCAAAGAACTTAGGTTGGGAAAATTGATAGCAAAACCTCTCTGGTAAATATTCAACTTTTGAAAAGATCCATTATATTGATTTAGACCCTATGAAGAAGACTTGTAGTTAATATTAATGATCAACTTAGTTCTTAAGTTAGAATGAATCAAGGGAAAATTTTAAAGTTCAAAACAACAAAAATACATCAATATGCACAAAATGTCTTATAGCATGAATATTCCATGTGTACATATAAGTAAAAAGAATTTTGTTTTCTTATCTTTGTAACTGTAGCTTCTGAGCCAGATAGACCACAGTTCAAGGATGGTCCTTGCTGCGAGGGTCAAGCAAGAAAACATGAGGCAGATTCTCAGTACAGGACCTATCTATGTCCTTGTCATTCAGGTTTAGCTGAATTGTCAGTGGGGCCATCTGAGTTTCTGTACCCCTGACTCCCATCTTTAGTCCCTCAGAATCATCACAATGCCCTATACTAAGTCTCTGCATAGCATGGATGTTTTCTTATTTCTCTGTTTGAGATTGTTGTCTGGCTCCTCTTTCTAGAGGAAAGCCTTTGGGGGCAGTTTCCTGACTCCTGTGCCTGCCACTGTGTCACAACACCCAACCATCCTGGGTAGAGGGGAGTACTCAGTAAATAAGTGGATGAATAAATTGATAGCTTAAAAGTTGTATTAAGGTACCTTTTTAAACATGATCTTATGCTTTACCCCTTCCCCCTTCCTGTATTTTCCACCTTTTCACCTCATTCAAGTGATTAGCAAGGCTTGGAAAAAGGATTTGCATACATAAAAGTTTCCCTCTTGGCAATACTGGGGTTTGAACTCAGAAGTTGACACTTGCTAGACAGGTGCTGTCTACTACTTGAACCACACGCCTGGCTCTTTTTGCTTTAGTTATCTTTCAGGAAGGGTCTTGCGTCTTTTCTCCTAGAGCTGGCTTGAACTGTGATACTTCTTGCTTATACTTCCTGTATAGCTGGGATGAGAGACACATACCACCATTCCCAGCTTTTTTTTATTGAGATAGAGTCTTGCTAACTTTTTGCTTGGGCTAACATTGAACCAAAATCCTCTTGGTCTCCATCTCTCAAGTAGTTGGGGTTGCAGGCATGAGCCACTGCACCTGGCCCAAAATTTCATATTTTTAAGTGAAACAAGATTATCTCATACTGAAATAAAAAATATATTTTAACACCAATTTTAATTGTAAATTTGATCTTCAAGCTTATAATGACCTCTTTCCATATGTATGCTGTGAACAAATCCATTGTAGGTTTAGTTCACACTTAATTCATTACTTGAAATATTCTAGTTTAGAAATGAATTTATGTATTAAGTTATTAGTATATGATTACCTATTTATTTATGACTATATATAAGACATTGTAAAGAGATTATCTCTGATATTTCTTAACAGATGCATCCAAAATTATACATTTAAAAACTTCTTACTCTTTCAGTATAACTTTGGAAGACCATATCCTTCTTCCCATAATTCAGCTTTTTTGAAAAGTCTCTCTGAGGATTGGGATTACAATAAGATTTTAGAATTATACTGGCCTCAAGAGAAAAGTCACTTCAGTATTTATCATCTTACTATATTTTGAGTCCAAATTGTGTTACTTGCTGGATCACATTTTTTGCTAACTTACCTGACTTGGACTGAATAACTTTATCTTTTTGAACAACTTTTGATTGTTTCTATACAGTGGTATGCCATCAGATAGCAGGAATTTTACATGTCAGTAGTCAAATATTCAAAATAAAGTTCTAAAATATTTTAAACCCTGGTAGCCTTGAGTTCAAACCCCAGTGCCACCCTCCCCTACAAAAAAAAAAACAAAAAAACAACAACAAAGAAAATCCATCAAAAACCTTGGTAGCCTCACAGCATTATATAAATATTGTTGTCTTCCAAGAGGAGCTCTTTGGATGTGCTAACTTTGCTTTTTTAATGTAAAATAGCTTACATTCATACCTAGCTTTATCTTGCATGCATCTTTAAACTCCTAACTTCTTGCTTTTTTTGTTGGCAACTCTTAATGTTTGTCTGAATATTGATTGTAGCAAAACATCCCAGATCCCAGAACTCAAACCTCTTCAAGTCTGATATATATATATATATATATATATATATATATATATTAACCTGTCAGTTAGTTACTTACCAGAAATTTCCCAAGGGACCTACACTTCAGTCCTTCAGGTCTTACTACGCTAAGAGTGATAAGGAATGCAAACCCCAAAAGGCCTCACCTTGGCACTCATGGAATTTATTGAACAACTGGGAAGATGTCTTAAAACCAAGACTCTTATTGTTTATTTTTCATTAAACAAACAAGTAACTGTGTTCATCAATTACTTGCCTTGGTTCGTTCCTCTTCACTCCCTTGTGAAGGATTGGTTGCTTGTCTGGGGTTATGAGGAGCATGTTATGGCTGAACATGTGACATCCCACACTAGATGGATGAGCATCTTATAAGTCACAAATGCTCACATTTCCACAGTCTTACAGATCCCATGCCATATGGGATCACTCAGAAAAGAGTGAATAAGGGCTGGAGGTATGACTCAAGTAGTAGAGTGCCTGCTTTACAAATGCAAAGCCCTGAGTTCAAACCTTAATACTGCCAAGAAAAAAAAAAAGACTAAATACGAGGACAGGGGAGGCAGACTGTGTAGTAATATATGGTGAGGTGTCCCCAAGTTCCTACAGGAGGATGTGATAGGCTTGTCTGAATAATTCCACAGGCTGATAAGGAATTACTCAAGGCTAAACAGGCACTGTGCCTAGTTCCCTGCCATAAAGAAGGTTGTTTGGTAGGAGACTTAACCTGGTGGGGGGCACAAGGAGAGGAGAACTTGTGATTAGGTTACTTGAGCTGCTCCTGGTTTTCCCCACTTGTCAAGGTACAGTCTTAGTCCTTAATTATGCTACCTGTGTATAATATCTTGAATTAAATGCTGTGAAAATCACAATCATTTGTTAGGAATAGCTCTTGCCTTTAGGAAGAAAGTAGTCAAATAAAGGACTTGTAAGTCTAATAAATATAAAAATGCATTTAAATATTATTATATGTAATATAAATGCAATAAAAGTACAAAGAAAGGCCAAAATGATCAGAAAAAATAGAGATCACCTCTGACTGTAGGAATCAAGAAAGGCCTGGTGGTGAGAGGAATAACATTTAGGAGAGATCTTAAGGAATGGATTTAATTTTAGTAGGTAAAAATACGAAGATAAGTAAGAAGGTGGGAGGACAGGCAAGTGAAAACACAAAGAGACAGGAAATGCCTGTTTTAAAATGTCAGAAAGTGATTAGAGCATAGAATATGCAAAAGGGAGTTCCTAGAAAAAGGAGAGTCATATTGTTAAGAGGTTTTAATTACTTTATACTTCATTTTAAGGCAATGGAAGTCAAAGAGGATTCTGAACTGGGCAATGGAGAAGTCATGGGAGGGGATGCATGTAGGAAGCTGATATGGCAGCGCAAGTGAGAAATTAAGAGGTTCTGAACCAGGCAGCAGACCTACAAGTAGTAAGAAAAAAATGACAGAATAAATGACAGGAAAGAAAAGTAGATAATATTTGAAGAGGGTAAGTCATAGTGGTTGTATTCTGAGTCAGGTCAACAGACTCAAACCCTTTGCTGTGCAGTATGGGATAATTGATGCTATCAGGCAGAAGATAATTACTTTTTTCCAACTTATTTGGAAATTAATTTGCTGGAGGACCCCATATTTATTAGAAGCTTTATATCTCCTGAGTACATAAGAAAAGACAAGACTTTTATTTTTTCACTCGTTGTAGTATAGTTATTACATTTTTTAGATATGGAATCCCTTGCTTTGCATAAAATTTTCATTTATCTCAAGGTGAATAGTGGCTTCAATGGGGACCAAAGGTATGGGAAGTGGCTTTGTTTGAGATGGGGACTGCCACTCCTGGTAGATTTTGCCACATAACTCTCTTATTAACTCAAATTTTTAAATGATTCATTTCAGTTTTCACTGATGGTTGGCTGTTTTTTGTAGGAAAACACATAGTACAAGATGGAGTCCAAGTCTCTAAGAACTCACACCAGTGCATCAGTGGTTTAATTTATGACATTCCCTCTTTCCCTTCCCTCCCCCCTCCTTCTTTCCTGTTTTCCTTTCCTCTCCATTTCTCACTCTGATAATAATGCACAAGGTTAGTGTTGTCATGAGCAAGACATGTCAATTTCACTTGGAATACCTTGTCCTCACAATAGTTTACCTCTTCACTACCTGCATCATCCTCCGTCTAAATTCTTGGGATGAAGGAAGGTGTGCAATACTCTTTAAGAACATTTATTACTTTAAGTGGATAAATATATTTGTTAAACTTTAGGAGTTTCCTTCTTTGCAGTTTAGATCAAAGTTATTTTTTTTTCTGATTCTTCTGTCTTCATTGTGAATGTAACTGTGGAGTTGAAACACACAAACTTAATTTTGTAATGTAAGTTATTGTGTGATGTGTTTTTTTCTTCTGTCTTCAGAAGTTCCTAATAAAAAGTACACAAATACACTTGAAAATGCAAAAATCCTTTTATTTTTCTGTTGTCTACCAAAGTGTGTGTAAATGTGTATGCTGGTTAATGGTTGTCTCCATTACCCAGTTGGTCAGGCCAAGAATCTTTTCTTATAGCCCAGCTCTTCATCAGGGGTTTGTGACCCAGTTATACTTTCAACATACATCCTATTTCTAGTGACCTTTCACAAGTCCCAACTCTATGACTTGCTAAACTGAGGTTCAGCAAACTATGACTCTGTGGGCCAAATCCAACCTGCAGTCTATTTTAGTTAATAAAGTTTTAGTGTAACATTTCCATTCATTTTGTTTATATGTTAATAGCTGCTCTCAGTGCCATAATGGCTGGATTGATGGCAAAAGTGTGACAGCATATAGGTCCTTTAGATAAAACGTTTTTGAAGGAAGTCATAAGGTTTTCTGTAAAAACATTAACACATGCATTGTTTTGTTTTGTTTTTATAACCCTTTAGGAACAAAAACAATTGCTCTTTGCTGGTGGCTTTCCAATCTATGTTACACACCTTTGTTCTAAACCAATGCTTTTTTTTTTTCAAGCATAAACCAAGTCACATCACTTCATGTTAAAACTCCCAAAAGACCTTGTACATTATGATCCAAATGTGTTACTACACCTCGAAGGTCTTTGGAATCCAGCCACACTAAATGCTTATCACTTTTTTCTCATACCATATGCTCTATCTGACTAGCTTTGTTCTATCCACATTTCTTCTGACAGGATCTCAAACTCGCCAAGTATACTTCTGCCTTAGGGGCCTTGTATTCTTCATTTATTGTCCTGAACATATGTACTCCTGTCTTTTCAGGTTGTCTTCTTGTTCAGGTCAGAAAGGTCTTACCTGACCACCCCACAAAAAATTGCTCCAATTCTATGCTCCAGTTCAGTCGTTCTCTGTCTCTTTACTTTGTATTATGTCTTCAGAGCACTTATATAGAACTAAGTTATTTCTTAGTTTACTTGTCTATTATCTGTAAGTATTTTCACCTTTAAGAGAGTATGTGGCTCACTGCTGTTTCACCAGCTCTTGCTGGTATCAGTATTAAATTGTAGGAATATAATAAATATTTGTTGAATGGATTATTGGTTAGTTCTATGCAGAGGTTATTTTCCCTTTAGTCAACTGATTAAGTTGTTGGGAAAAGATTTATACTGACTTCATGTTTTGAGGCATTTTAAATAACTTGACATTCTAATGCGTCTCTTACAGCCCATGGGCCTCCTTTCCATCCTTGAAGAGGAATGTATGTTTCCTAAGGCTACAGATGTGATTTTCAAGACCAAACTCTTTGGTAACCATTTTGGAAAGTCAGTTTATTTCCAGAAGCCCAAACCAGATAAGAAGGAGAAACATGAAGCTCATTTTGAACTTGTCCATTATGCAGGAGTGGTAAGTTACCTGTAGATCCCCAGACCTGAACTTTCCTATCTTTATTTCAAATGCACTCTGCTAAAGTCCTCAGGTAATATCTAAGTAAAGTTCAGATTAAAGAGATGAACAAAATGCCAGAAAAAAGGTATTGAGCCTTCTAGCACTTAGGAAATGAAATCAAATGCCCATATGACAATAACATCTCCTGTGCACAGAAGTGAAAAAAATTTCAAAATAGACTCTGTCACCCCCAACTCAAAGGAACATGGCCTTGAGAAAGTCATGGAGACCTTCAAAGTCATGGGGTTTTCTCTTTATTTTTCCTTTTTAACTTAACATTGTGTGAATGAGTGATTTTAATTGATCTTTTTATTGAGTAGCTTTTAAAATTTTCCCATAAAGAAATACTCAGTGTGAAGTACTAGTTTCTAAACTATGGCCAACAAAGGTTCTTAGTTATCCTCACTGCCTCTCCTTGCTTTCCCCATTGGTATGTGTACACCTTTTCTCTGCTTCTGATCAGTGATTCTGGGTAGAACAGAAAAATAACTGATAAAAGATAAAATAATACTTCAAGCTACTAATGACCTGCCAACTCTCCCCAGATATGCTTGTAGTTCTATTTTTTGACATCATAGAATGTTAGTTATAATTACTATTATATTTGCAAAATACCATTTTATTTGCTAACTTTTTGGGGGGTAGTGCTTACTGTATGTTAGGGTGAGTGGATTTTTAAAAATCTAGTCTTACTTTTGAAGGGTGCTAATGTGAGTTGTTTCTAATGGAAATAACATTTACTCCTCTCCTTTCCCTTTCCTCCCTTCCCTTCCCTCTCCCTCTCCCTCCCTTCTTCCTCTCCCTTCCTCTCCCTTTCCCTTCCCTTTCCCTTCCTTCTCTCTGACCACTGTCTTTCTCTTCCTTTGTTTTGACACTGCAAATGGTAAAATTTTAAAATCTTTTTGGGTTACACAATGAACTTCTGGAGTATTATTCAGTATTGTTACATTAGACTAATTTGTAGGATCTACATAATTTGTGATTTTTCCAAGTAATGCTCAATTTCCTATGTTAATTTGTACATTTTCTCCTTTTGTTACCTGAAATCCATGCTTTTCCAAAGGTTCCTTATAACATCAGTGGTTGGCTTGAAAAGAACAAAGACCTTCTTAATGAAACAGTGGTGGCCATATTTCAGAAGTCTTCCAATAGACTCCTGGCAAGCCTTTTTGAAAATTACTTTAGTGCTGATAGTGGTGAGTTAAACTTTTTTGATTTTTCTGCTTTAGAGTGGAATGGGTGCCTCTGCTTTTACAAAAGTCCTTGATTCTTTCCTGTGGTACCAGTTTGTACTTTCTGTGATTTGAGTTGCTGTCTCCTGTTAACCCTTCTGTCCTCAGACTAGTGGTTTTTCAGGAATATGGTACTAGTGCTCTAAGAGAGATACGTTCCATGGAGTCTGTTCCTGTCCTGCTCTTGCTTTCTTCTAGACCTACCTACAAAGAAAAACTAGGAAACATATTTTGATGAATGATTTCCAGGCAATAATAATCTTCAAATATATATGATAAAAGACAAAATGGCAACAAAACTAATTTTTCAGATCTTAATCGGTTTTATTTGCAATTTTAGAATTGAGTAGCATTCTCAAGCAAAAATGGTTCATAGTCTTCTAATCTACCACATGAGCAGGTTGTATTTATACCTAGAGAAAAGAAAATTACATGTAGAAAATGGAAGTGAGGTATAAGACATCTCTACAGAGTTTAGCTTTTAGTGGTCTTATGTGAACACGTTTTGAATAGTTGGCCAATTGTGGTTGGTTAAGAATTGGATATTTGTTAGAGAGTAGGCTATGGTCTGTTTTTACATCAAATTCAGTTACATTTCACTAGTAAACCTTTAAGCCCAATTTAATATGTATAGAAACAGCTTTTGACTAAACTTTATAGATGTATTTTATATATATATATATATTATCAGCCCTCTCTGGCTAATTTGGGACTCCTAATTGACACAGTCAGGAAATGGAGAAAAGATTTAGTATTCTGTTTATATATATGTATATGTATATATATATATATATATATTCTTGTCTTTTGAAAAATGGAAATTCTTGGCAAACAGAGTATCTGGCCAGCCTAACTTCAATTACCTTCATGGCAACAGGGACACAGAGTGAACCAGCTGTTCTTTCAGTGGGGATAGATTCTCACTTCCTAACATTTTCACCCACCTATTATTTTACTCCCAGCTTCAAGCTTACTACTGGCCCCTCTCAGGCTGATTTGGGATTCCTGATTGATAGTCAGGAAATGGAGAAAGGATTTAGCACTTTGTGGATTCTTTAGCATGTGATGACAATTCAAGAGCACGCCTGAAATCCCTGAGCCTGCCTTAAGTGGAAGTAGAGAAATGGAAGCTACTGAATTTGAATTTGAATTCTGCTAATCTACAGGCAATGGGTTCCATTTTTATTTTTATCTTTGTATTATTTAATATCTATCTATCTATCTATCTATCTATCTATCTATTTATTTATTTATTTTGCAGTACTGGGGTTCAAATTCAGGGCCTCATGCTTGTTAGGAAGGTGCTCTACCACGTGAGCCACACCCCCTGCCTTTTTTACTTTAGTTATTTTTCAGAAAAGGTCTTGTGCTTTTACTCAGGGCTGGTCTTGGTCTGCAATCCCCCAACCTCTGCCTTCTATGTAACTGGAATTAGAAGCAGGAACCACCATTCTTGCCTTGTTCTTTGAGTTAGGGTCTTGCTAAGTTTTTGTCCTGGCTGGCCTTAACCTGTAGTCCTCTTATCTCTGTCTTCCAATAGGTAGGGTTACAGGCACAAACCACTGCACTTGGCTATTTTTTTTCATTGTTGAGACAAGTTCTTGCTATGTTGCCAAGGCTAGTTGCAAACTCCCCATCCTCCTGCTTCAGCCTCCAAAATAGCCAGTACCACAGGATGTGCCTCTACACTCAGCTTTTGTCTGATAAAGTTTCTAAAGTGCCTCTGTGAAGTCTATTAGGTAGTGGTCACATAAGCTTTTGGCTCCCAGTGGAGTCATTGCCTGATCACAAGAGATCAGAGAGAGTAGTTTGGGCAGAAAATTAGGGAGGAAAATGACTTCTAACTGTTCAAGTTTATGCTGTGCTCTTGGGAACTAGAAAATGAAATGGTCCAGAATGTCTTTTTTTTTTCTTTTTTTTGGTAATCATTCAAGCACTCCCTGGTAATACTTGTCTTCAAGTTTCTGACTCATCTACACATTAAACTTCACACAATAACCATACTTTCTTCTAGAAAAATCTAAGTAACCTTAAGTCAGTGTTACAGTTTTAAAAAATTCATGCAAGGTAGTATTAGTCCCTGTTCAAAGATGGAGAAACTGAAGTATAAAGAGGTCATGTGATTCACTTAGAAAATCTGGACCTCTCAAAAAGACATTAGTGACTACGCTTCATGACCTCTGCCCCCACAGTTACTACTCAGACCCAGAGAATTTTTTTTTTTTTAGTTTTTTATGTCAATAGATGGCCCATTTTCTCTAGGTTGCCTAGGGTTTTGTCGTTGTTGTACATCTTAGTGAGTTAGCACTACACAAATATTTGTAAGACAGTTTGGTGTAGTATAGATTCTTTTGTTTCAAGAAAAAAGGAATATATTTACTTTTTTAATAAACCATGAAAGTACATTATTATTGCCATATTTCTATTAACACAGAAAGTGTACAAAAACTAGTGAGTGGAACAAAAATTGTCTATCATCTCACATGGAGACATACCAACTGTGAACAATTTAGAGTTTATGTTTCCGAAGATGTTTAATGTTTACAGTCACCTGTAGGTCAATTGTACTTAAAAACATGTATATACATGCAGGATCACATTGTACAAAATATAGGTTCTGTAACCTACTTTTTCTCTTGAAATGAATCCTAGAAATCATTCCATATTGGACCTAGATTATCATTTAAAATTTAAAGTGCTTCATTGGGTGCACATTGCTTCATAATTTAACCTCCCAAATGCCTGTTCATGGACATTCCTTGATTAATTTAATTTTGCTAAATTTTTTTCTTGCAATTATGAGGGCCTTGCACCTGCTAAACAAGTGCCCTACCAATAAGCTATACTCCCAGCTTTTGCTTACTTTTTTTTAATGACTAAATAATGTCTCAGTAAGTATCTTTGTACACTTGTCTGATTATTTCCCTAAGGAAAAGCACCATAGACATTTTGTGTTGAGTCATGTGTGTTTTCAAAGTTTTTAGTAGATGCCGCTATATTGTTTTTAGAACTTTGATGAACATTTCCATCAATAAGTTCTTACATTACAAAAAATAGTGGGTTTTAAAGTGCTTTCTTCTTCTTTTTTAGCCATGCAGTTTGGGGAGAAGAAACACAGGAAAGGAACTTCATTCCAATTGGTTACATCTCTGCATAAAGTAATTTTAAATTGTATCTATTCATATATTAACCACCTTACAATCTGTACATGTTATTATTCATGTGAAATTGTGTATTTCTAGTTAAGGATAAAGTGTCTGAAGTTAGCCATGTTGGAAAACCTTCTTGCTATTAAGAAGGACTTTAGGGGACACTGATGGGTCCTACTTAGGTCCCCTTTGTTAGCCCTGCACCCATGTCCCAGCTAATATGAATATTAGCTCATAGCACATCACAGTTGCCAGAACTGCCTTGCCAAATGGGAAGCTAAGCTGCCTGCTTGCTCTCCTCTCTACACTTTGGCCCCTCCTTGCCTCAGGAGGGGACATCTGTGGTGTAATTGGCACATTTGTGCTCAAAAGCTCTGCAAAGATCACACTAAAACTGAGACAACACCATGGGCTTTTTAATTCCTCTATGCTTTGTCCCTCATCTCCAAATAAATCCTTCAAATGAGAATCCCCATTTCAGATTTTGCTCCAAGGAATCTGACCTAAAATAAAGTTTTCTACAGATAAGAATTCATGCCATTTTATTGCTCAGCTATAAATTATTTCTATCAATTTCAAAACAGGTAGAAATGATTCACAGTGGACTGTGTATGTAAGATAAATATTGACTTGCCATAGGAAAGAAGTAATGTGCATTTACTAAGCAAGGAATAATGTTGAAGTCATTTTACCATTGATGTACATGTTGAGTATCAGATTACGTTGATGGATTGGGAGACCTTTCTGAGTTATTTTAGTGATTTGCAAAGTGATTTTGTGTTTATTATGGTCTTCATTTTAGGAAAACCTAAATAGATTGATGACTAGTCTGAAATCAACAGCACCTCATTTTGTGAGATGCATAAATCCCAATGTGAACAAAATACCAGGTAAGGAACTAAACATTTTTGTAATTCATGCTAGGGAATATATTTTATTTCAACTATTTTGAACATTTTTTTTAAGAACCATTTACTGGTTTCCTTACATGGAAGTAGATTTTCCGATATGAAAATGAAAGAAAACTCAATGTGAGATTTTTGGAATCTCTCAAGTCCGCTTTGGAATTGAGATTCAAGTGGGCATACAGAAAGACTTTACAAAGTAGGCTCAATTGGGTAGTATCAGAATGCTTGATATTACTATTGATATCCCTCATTGAATCTTATGTTAAAATGTGGCTGAGCTCCTGTGCCATTGTTTAGATGGGCAAAGTACAGTAAAAAGGGATTGAATAATCAATTAGCGGGTTGAGGTAGATGTTTTAGCATAAAGGATGTTATTTGGTCTAAGTTATCTAAATTCACCATAAAGATAGCTCCATTCATATTATTAAGCACTCCCTCTAGTATTCCTTCCCAGTAGTAACATCTTTTTCCCTAATGATATCCATTTTATTTAGTTAAGCACTTCTGGAAAATAAATACTTTTTTGATAAATTTATGGTAGTAAGGATAAAGATGGGATAGGAGACTGTTGGTGAATTTTTTTTTCTGTTTATAATTCTCAAAAGTTTTTTTTTGATACTAATTACATGGGTCACTTTCCTTACATCATGGATATGAGGATTCCTAGCAATCTTTGGAATTACAGTACTCTTTAGAGTTTTGGTCAGAGGCCATCAGCCTCAAAGGAAAGTACATGACAAGCATCTTAGATCTGTCTTTGGAATAGGTAGCCAGATTTGTTGATTCTGTTTTATAATAGCTTGCATTTTTATTAATCTAATGTAATTAAGACCTCAGTCTTAATAGTCTGTGGCCTCTTTGGGGAAAGTGTGAGCCAAACAATGATGCAGTAATTGAAAGTTTTGTAATGTAGACGCTTCACATTCATTCGTAGCTGCATATTTTTGGCCTTGTGGTTTCTTATCAGATGTGTTTCCTTCCTTCCTTCCTTCCTTCCTCCCTCCCTCCCTTCCTCCCTCCCTTTCTTTCTTCTTTTTCTTTTTATCCTATGTGTGTAGTACAGGTGATAAAACCAAGGCTCTACTACTGAGCTACATTCTGGCCCCCAGCTGGGTTTCTGAATACATCTAAAGATACTGCTTACATCTTGTAAGGAATCTAATCAGCTACTTCTATTTTGGAGCAAATATGTTATCTATTAATTGTCTTCTAAGTCAGCATTAATTTCAGCAGTTTTTCAATAAAAGCTTCATATATAATCAGACCAATTTTTCATATGAATTTAAATAGAATGAACATGCTTGATCTTAAGGTGTCAGAGGACTTTACTTTTCCAGCCTTGTTATAGACTGTCTGTTTATATCCATGATAAGCATCAGAGTACAGGTATATGACTGAGGTTTATTCTGTAATCTTAGACATAGAAAGAGTTACAGCAGGTCTTTGTGTTAGGAGGAGTGCTCCTTGGCTTCCTCCATAAGACTTGGTAAAAGCCACATACAGTGTATCCTTGAATGGTTTTTCAGAAACTTCTATCAAAGATTGCAGTGGACAGCTGTAATAGGGCCACTTGTGATTATCACGGAGATAATGCAAGGATGCTTATACTATAGAATAAAGTTAAGCACTGGCAACATTATAAGGGGAAAATGAAGGGTAGGATGTGGTCAAATCCTTTCCAGGCAAAATTGTAAGCAGAATTTTGTGATTGTGCCCATCTTCCCTCTACTTTTTTCCCCTTTTTCAGAATTCTTCCCCTGTCCCCTCTTACTTAGAGATGAAAGTTCCTTTTATGTTCTCATTGTCCTTACTGGTTTTGGCTGGCAAATGAATGTGATACAAACCATTTATATTTTAGCAAAAATGTAGTCTTTTTCATTTTCCAGTTCCAGTTGCCTATAAAATCTTACCAAACTGTGAACTCATTGGATTGTTCTATGTTAAAAAAGAATTACAGGTAAATCATATTTTGAAACTGCTACTTAATAGGATAAGCACTGTGAGTACTATTAGGATGGAAATAAATGAATTCCTATGAACTATCAGGTAGAATTTGTAGAACAAAATCTGGGGTAATAATATTTGAGGCATGGACTCAACATGACTTTTTTTCAGGTACAATGGACCCTTTCTTGGTTCTACAGCAGCTGCGTTGTAATGGTGTCTTGGAAGGAATTAGGATGTATCGTGAAGGTTTTCCAAATCGAATGCCATATGATGATTTTAAACAAAGGTAAACATATATTTTAGGTTCCAAAAAGCCAGAGGCAGTCTATTTTGTTTTCCTTTTTTTCTGAATGTTTAGGCATGTGTTGTTTTAGTTGATATCCTCCAGACTACAAATTGATGTGTTTCTGTGGTGGTAAGCTATATGATGACGGAGTTCTATTATGTCCCCTTAAATTCTATAGCCAAATAGCTGTAACATCCTTAAATCTCTATTCATGGATAATATACCATATGTGTAGAAGAAATGTACACAGAAGAAAGATATAGGCTCTGAAATGAATCCCTGAAATGTTGTGTATTATATAATGGTAGTTGCCACCCAACCAAGTTGCCGCTTAACTAGCAAGCTCATGAAAGGAAGGAAGCCAGCGCTGTGGGTGGCAGGAGCCAAGAAAGCCATCTTTGTTTCTCATTTCCTGAATCTTGAAAGTATAAATTAAATTTCATCAAGCTAATTTGAGCAAAGTATGATGGAGTAGAAGGAATGCCTATCTAGAAACTAAAAGGTGTGTTTCTTATTCTCTACCAACTCATCATTAGGGTGAAAAAATTTTTTATTATTGTACTGGGGTACATTGTGGCATTCACAAAAGTTCTTACAATACATCATATTTAAATTCACCCCCTTCACTTTCCTTAACAGCCCCCCAATTCCTGGAATAGTTTATAGCGGTCTCATTTTTCCATTTACATATATGACTATATAATGTTTCTACCATGTTCACCTTCTAAACCCTTTCCTTGTATCCTCCCTTCTCCTATTAGTACCAACTTCCTAGACAGGACCTGTTCTGCCCTCCTGTTCTCAGATATTGTAAAAAAACAAATGACATTTTGTTTGTCAGGGTGAAACAATTTTGAATATGATATTTAATGTCTCTGCTTCTCAGTTTCCTTATCCATACGATAGAGATACTTACACTTTTCTTACTCTCTTTCCTTCCAGTTCTTCCCTTCTTAATTTAGTAGAGAATCAAGCGATGTTGATTCATAAAGCACTATAAAAAATAAAAAGTATCTTACCAATGGAAGGAACTGTTGCTTTTATACTAATTATTTTCATCAAGAACTATATGAAAATTGACCATGTAGGTAGGAGGGGTAGATGTCTGTATCACCTTTCACTTTTCTTCTTCAGATTCATCTTATTTGCTTTGTATGTTTCCCCTCACCCCATTTTAAGTTAGGTACTGCATTCTAAACCCAAGGATCTTTCCAAAGAGCAAGTTTGTGAGTAGTAGAAAAGCAGCAGAGGAACTACTTGGCTTTTTGGAGGCAAACCATACTCAGTACCAGTTTGGAATCTCTAAGGTAACCAGGAAATTACAAAGAATGAATGTGCAGAGAAATAGAAGGCAGAGTGTGGATTTTAAAATATTCATGAGCACTCATGAATGTAAGGTGTTCTTCAGTGCTTGTGACAAGAAATAACACAAATATGTATTAGTTCAGAGTGGAGAGTTTGGTGTTGTTTGAGAAAGAAAATTTAATTCTTCTCAAACTTCAGTCTTGACTACTTTTACATTTTTTATAATTAATCATCTAACCAAATTTGTGCCAATATACAAAATACTGAATTAATCTTTCAGTGCTAGAAAATCTATGTACAGAGCAAAAAAATGTGAACTAGCTTCCTGGAGTAAACTGCTTATTTGTGTGATCTGACTCATCTTCTGTATTCTGTCAGGAAATAAAATTTAGAAGAGTATATAATTTAATAACTTTAAAGTCAACCTTACTATCTGAAGAAATGTAAACCAAAACCAACTTTCTCATATGTAAATCTCTAAATTCTACTTCATCTAAAAGATGCAAATATTTTGAGAAACTTCGACAAATAGATTTGGTCTTACCTGGTAGTGAACATCCAGTTGTTCCTAATGACACCCATATAAGGACCAAATTATTTTAAAGAGAATGGGAGGATCCAGGGTGAAGAACTCACAGAAGAACTAAAAAATATATTTTAGTGCTTCTATGATTTTTGTGCCTCAGATGCTTCACTCACTTCACCTTATTTGTTACTGATTATTCTTGAGTAATATTAGTATCAAGCCTTTGATGACTAGGACAAAAATGTTTTCTTCTAGAACAAAGTCAATAAAATATGACCCAAGAGTCATATCATGACCTATTTTAAAATTATCCCACTAGCTAAAATAGTTTTGCATTTTATAGAGACTTTTAAACAACAAAGAAGAATATTTACTCCTGGTCCTTCACAGAAAATGTTTGTGTACATCTTCCAGGCACTTTGGAACACTACATGACTAAATTCATCTTTAAAGTTAAACTAGGTTATCTAAGCATTATTAATAAATAAGAAGTCTAGTGTAATTTATTAAATTACTAATATGACCACAGGATTAAGTAATATGTCCTTTGCAAATTTTAGATTTAGAAAACCAAACTTTCTAGAATGTAGATTTTACACAATGAATTAAACCTAAGAAGAAATAGATTGATAAGTTATCCCAATGAGTACTTCAGTTGTTCATAGGGTCACTTAATAGTCATTTGCTGAATACTGAATGATAAGTGAAATTATATCTGACTTTTTTCCTTTAGGTGTTTTTTAAAGCTGACTTTCTGGGACAATTGGAAAAAAAAAGAGAAGAGAGACTGTCTGAAGTCATCACATTGTTCCAAGCTAGAGCACAAGGCAAATTGATGCGAATCAAATTCCAGAAGATTCTGGAAGAAAGGTATCTCTATACACCCATTACTGAAGTAACTGACACCTCAACCAATGTGACCTTATTTCGTTGTCTTATAATAGGCTGTAGTAAAGAGCTTCTTCTGCTTAAACTGAATCTTTAAAATGTTTGTGGTAAACAAAGAGTGCAAAGAGTATTATTGTCTTACTCAAACAAGCATAGTCATAATTCAGATATTTTTTCCACTGTTTCTAGCCTTCCTTTTGAAAGAGTTTGTAGTTTAGAATTGTAGATCTCTGAGGGTGGTGTAACCCACAGTTTATACCATGAGTAGACTCGAGAGGGTTAGCATACGAATTCCACAGTCAACTCTGTGGAAGTTTGTTCTGATCTCTTTATTACCTCCCTTGGGTCAGTAATTGTGGCTCTTGATGACATGTAATTATAACTTCCTTGCTTTATTTCAGGAAGGTTCACCAGGGACTTTTATGACTATATTGGACATTTGGTGTAAGTTTTGTTCATTTTTAAGATTCATGGAAAGCAAGTTAACAAAATCTCCAAACAGAGGAACCATGAACAGGGGTTTCTGCAGTGCTTGTATTAATTTTTTTCCTTAACATAATTAATTTCTGGACAAAAGTTCACAGGTACAAGTTGGTTAACTGACAATTTTTAATTGCCTCTTTGGGAAAACAAATGGAATTAAAGAATTCAGAAAATATTATGGTGTATATTCATGAAGCAATCATCAAGAAATATTAATTCTTAACAATTTTCTGTAATTGTTGACAACTTAAAAAAAATTAACTGACATAGTTGAAGCCACTGTGTATTTCTCCCTTGATAGCTCTCCCTCCCTAGATCCTGAATTTGTGTTCTATGCATAAATCATATGAAAGTGTGTTCTCGTGTCGTGTGTGTGTATATATACACACACATGCACACACATTTATATGTGTGTATACGTATGTATGTATCTATCTGTCATCTATCTATCTATGCTGATAAAGCAAGGGCTACACTGTTGATTTTAACTGCTGAACAGTGTTCCGTTGCTCACATGGAACACTTCCATGTTTGTTTTACTTCCAGTTTTTCACTTTTCCAAATAGTTTTCTTCTTTACTTTTCTTTTTTCTTTTTTTATATGGTACTGAGATTTGAACTCAGAGTCTTGCATTTGCTTGGTAGGAGCTCTAACACTTGAGCCACGTCCCCAACCCTTTTTGCTTTAGTTATTTTTCAGGTAGGGTCTCACATTTTTCCCAAAGGAAACCTTAGACAGTGATGCTTCTATCTATGCCTCCTGTGTAGTTGGGATTATAGATGCACACCCACCATGCCTAAGCTTTTGTTGAGATGGAGTCCTGCTATTTTCATGGGGCAGGGGACGGGGGGAGGGGAGTGGGGTGCATGGAATCTACAGCAGCGCTAGAGGGTTCTTGCTTTCAGAACATCCTTAAGACTAAGAGGCTGGAGCACCAGAGTTATAGGCAGAAAAGAAACTTTGATAGAGAAAGGCTGAGCGGAGAGATGCACAATGGGGTCTGGAAACCAGGTGCCCCCTGAGTGCTGGATTTGGGGGGATAATATATATATATATATATATATTATATATATATATATATATATATGGCTTCTGCCCTAACCTAAAGAACAGTTTGTAGTGGAATTCTATAGGTCTATTCTTAGCACACCTGGGCCTCATGTACCTCCTGGTCATCTGGCTGAGCTGGTTCCTCCACTTCTCCCAGGTCATGGGGGCTCCACATTCTTAAGATGTCATGGGGCTGATTTATGTTATGGTACTGCTACACTATCATTGAACCAGTTTGACTTTCACAGAACCACAGTCCTCCCAATTTCTGCCTCCAGAGTAGCTGGGATTACATGCATGGGCCATCCCACCTGGCTCAAAATAGTCTTCTGGGGACACTTGTAATTGTTTCTCCAAGACTTTCTTGAGGACAATATAATTCAAAATGTTCAATTCTCTGAGAACTGTTTGTGAATGGCGGCTTGTTCAAGTCACAGACTTAGAGTAGCAATTTTGTAGGGTATGAATTAGTAGGTTTTAGGATACAAACTATTTCAACTATGAGAGCTATTGCCAAAATGTTTTCCAATTTATTGTCTGCCAGCGGTATATGAGTATTCCATTGCCCCATTCTCACAAACTTATGGTGTCTTATTTTATTTATATTTTTTCATGAATATTTTTATTCAATAAGCTTCTTGTCCATTTTTCCCATTTGTCCATCATCCTTAAGATTTTCAATTTATAGGCCATCAGCTTATAAAATATTTTTGTTAATATGGTTTCTATTTTTTAATTTTAAAAAATGTTTAAATTTGTGTATTATTATATTATTGTTGTACTGGGGGTACTCTATGACATTTTCAAAAGTGCTTATAGTATATCATAGTTGAATTTACCCCTCATCATCTCCTTTTTCTCCTATCTCTCCATTCTTAGAATGGTTTCAACAAATCTCATTTTACCATTTACATGTATGTGTATGGAATATTTCCATCATATTCAGCCTTCTACACCCTTTCCTTATATTTCCCCTACACAAACTGGTACCAACCCCCAGACAGGACATGTTTTACAAAACTTCTTATCTTCTGTTTTTGAAAATAGACATTTTTGTTTATTTAAGTTATCTTTAAAGTGAGTTTCATTATGACATTTCCATGTATATATGCATTATATCCTGAATTGGTTCATCCCCTCCATTTTTTTCCTTTAGACTTTAAAATTTTTTTGCCAAATGTAATATTGCTGACACTGTGAAAAGAGATCATTTCTCTGCAAAGAATAATATTTTCTATAGGTTTATCTTTTTGTAAATCTGATTTATTGTATGGACGACATTCCTTCCAACTTCTTTGTTAAGCATTTTCATCAGGGAAATGATTGAATTCTTTATCTTCATCTACTGAAGTAACACATAGTTTTTCTATATCTGTAATTACATTAAATTTTAATAGATACTTTAAAAATAATGAATCCACTTTGGTTCACATTGATGGGATTTGTTATAATTTTATCATGAGATTCTCACACCCATATTCATAAATTGATGAGCCTATAATTTTCCTTTTTTCTGCTTTGTTATCTGATTATGGATCAACATTATCCTAACCTCATACAAGAGTTGGAAAATACTTCCTCTTCAAAACAGGAAACAGTTTATTACAATAATTGGGTCCTTGTATCTTTGGTAAGTTTGCCTATAAGCCCATCTGAATATGGTGTGTTTACGATAGATTTCATAATTATGATTCAGTTTATTTAATAGCTCCAGGCATATTGAGGTTTTTATATTCCTGAATCTGTTTAGGTAAGCTTTATTTTTAAAAAATTATTTTTTTTTAAATTTTCTAGTTTAATAGATTTTAAAACTTTACTCTATGTGTAATTATGCTTCCAGAACATAATCTCAAATTATGATATTCCCAGAGTGTCATTCCTGGTATTATTTCTTGTATCTTTTCTCCTTTCTTTATCATTTACTATATGTTGATTTAGTTAGTTTATTTAATAAATCACTTTTCCTTCATTTCCTTTGTTGTTTCTTTTTTCTAGTTCATTATTTTCTGAGCTCCCCTTTACTCCTTCCTTCTTTGCACTTATTTTTGGTTTTTGTTTTCTTTTTCTCACTTTTTGAAGTTTGACAAATAAGACTATATGTTCGTAGCATATAATTTGATATTTTTATATGTATATATATGTATACATTGTGAACTACTGCAGTTAACCTAATTAATGTATCATTTCACACAGTTACATTGTGTATGTGTGTGTGTGTGTGTGTGCGCATGCCGGGGATGATAAAATTTAAAATATACTCTCTTAGTAAAACTCCAGTAAATACAGTATAAATATTACCATTATCACCACTTAGATCTCCAGAACTTATTCATCTTGTCTAACTTAGGTTCTTGGAACTTATAAGGACTTAGTTTCTATTAGACCAACACCCTTCCATTCTGACTCCCTTACTGGCCTCTGGAAGCTACCATTCCACTCTGTACGTCAATGAGTTTGACTTTTTTATGTACTGCACCTCAGTGAGATCATGCAGTATTTGCCTTTCTCTGCCTGGGTTATTTCACTTTGAACAATGTCTTCTAGCTTCATCTATGTTGTTGCAAATAACATTTTCTTCTTTTTGAAGACTGAATCATATTTTAGAGTATATGTGTTAGACACCAAATTTTCATTATTCACCCACTGGTGGACACAGGTTTATTCCACATATTTGCTATTGCAACTAATATTGCAATGAACAGGCTGATGCAGATAATTTCTTGGTAACACTAATGTCATTTTTTTGAGTATATATCAGAAGTGCTAGTTTTATGTCTCATTTTTGTAGGAACCACTGTTTTCTACAGTGATTGTACCAATTTATATTTTCACTAACAACATACAAAGGTTCCCTTTTTTTCCTATGTACTATCCAACACTTACAGTTGTGTGTGAAGTGATATTTCATTGTGATTATGATTTATATTACCTAATGATTTATTATGTTTGAGCAGGTTTTCAAAATTTTGTTTGCTATTTATATGCCTTCTTTTGAGAAATGTGTGCTAAGTCCTTTGTCCATTTTTAAGGTTATTTATTTAACTTTTTTGTGCTAGTTAATTTTTTGAGTTCCACAAGTATTTTGGATGCTAACCCCTTATTAGATATATGGCTTGCAAATATTTTCTCCCATTCTATATGTGTCTGTTCATTCTGTTGATTGTTTTCTTTGCTGTACAGAAGCTTTGTGGTTCAATAAAATTCCATTTGTCTATTTTTGATTATGTTGCTTGTGCTTTCGGGGTCATATAAAAAATTGTTGCCTAGATAAATGTCAAGAAGTTTTCCTCCTGTATTTTTTGTATTAATTTTATAATTTTAGAGCTTATATTTAAGTCTTCTATTCATTTTAACAGTTGTATATGATGTGAGATAAAGGTTCAAGCATTCTTTTGCATGTGGATATCCATTTTATTAACACTATTTTTTGAAGAAGCTGTGCTTTCTGC